ATGGATGTTTATCTAATTGTTGTTCTATGGAGGCTTTAGCCACAAAAAAAATGATTGAATATAATGTGCACCTTTTATATATAATATTTAAGTACTCAGTAATTTTAAAAATGAAGGAAAATCTTTTCCATAATCCAAATTTATTATAGAATTTTAAATTTACTATAGTTATCACTTATTTTCTGATAATGTCATGTATGATCAGTCATATCTACAAAAATTGGCACTTTTATACACATACAAAAACAATTCAAGATTCTTTTTAACATACTGGGATACCCCATATTGTAATAAGCTTTTCAATTTCTGATTAGTAAATATAGTTTTATTTAATAACAATATTCCCTACAATTGTGCCATTGAAACTGAATTTTAGAAGATTTAAAGATTTTATAAATTATTTTATTTAAAAGAATGAAAACAAATCTTGTAAAAATTCATTATTCATCGAAAAAAAAATTTTTCTTAATACAATAGTGTCATTATATATATATAACTAAAAGCAATTAAAAAAACTTTACTAATTAAATAACGTCGTAGTTTTATGGCATTTTTTATTTTTGATTCAGAGCAGATATTTAGTAAGACAGGATTCAAATTTACAAAAGGGAATTGATTTAAATTCTTCAATGAGTTCCACTTTTAACTAATATAGTCACTAAAATTATCTCATTGAATTTCTCAACTTTCCTTAAAATTAAGTGGGATGTAACACATGTAAAAATAATAATTTAACCAAAATTTTCTAAAAAAAAAAAAAAATAATTTTGTTCATTTATGAAGAAGCCCTGAAAGTTTCATAAAATCCAACTATTATTCCATTTTTGCAAGAATTTCCAAATCAATGTCTTTCAGTGTAAAACATGCTGAAATTTGCTATGTTAATTTATAGTCACAATGATTGATGCAAGAAAAACAATATTTTTAAACAAAATTTTGAATTTTCTGAAAAGGATTAAAAATTATAATTAAAAATATCTCGTCTTACCTCTTAATGATAAAGATTTTGATGCTAAAACATTTTTTTTTTATCAAGTTTGGGGTATTTTTTCATCATAGTATTTCTTTCTTCAGTGATTTTGTGAATATATATATGCACAAAATAAAATCCAAAATCACCTCATAAAGAGACTAAGTTTATTTCGACCGACGAAAAAAATATAATCAATCAGGCTTATTCAACCCTGCAAAACCGGGGTTGAATAAGACTGACGAATTATATTTTCATTGGTCAAAATAAGCTTATTCCCCATATGAGGTGATTTGGGATTTTTTCGCGTATTATTTTTCGCACTGTAATGATAAATTCATTGAGCTCTTTTTGTGCGTAAGTTTTAATATTTCATATTGCTAGGATCCAATTGGATTACATACCAATGGATTTATTACCTTTACTATATATATATATATATATATCAGAAATAACCATACATTGAACTTAATATAAGCATTAAACTACTAACAATCCACTGAATGATGTGATCCTTATGCATGAAATTGTTGTCAGATGGATCTAGTGTATTTTTTATAGAAGCAAGTACTTTCAAAGACATCATCTCCTCATCGTCAGGGTGTAATTTTTTTTCCTTTAAAATCAAAACTTGAAGACGAAATAAACGTGTTGTAGACCGAAAGATGATTTTTTAAGAATGTGTTATTTATTAATGGTTGTATAATATTGGAACATGCGAGTTGCAACACTGAAGTTCAAATATTTCAAGTGAGAATTTTTATATTAATTTTGTAATTTAGTAAATACACAAATTCTTTTGTTCTAAGTGTTTTCCAGTTAACGTGACATGAACTAAGTACATAGTTCAATTAATAGTGATATGTCTTAGTAGTTTTTTACAAAAAGGGTTTACCCTGCCTGGGAAAGGCTTATATTTAAAAAGTGCTCAATACACAATTCTCAAAATCTACAGTGTATTACAAACACTAACCTTTTCTGCTACCTTAGTTACTATCAATGAAGACTTTCTTAGGCAGTGAAAAGGTCAATTGCTTTTCTATCACTCAATTTATCCACTTTTGATATTGATAGCATAAGTATGTGAGAGAGGAGAAAAAAATATACATATAGATATATAAACAAGTACATATGAATATATCACCTTTGATAGCAAAATTTGGGAGGTATGCCAATCCATGATAGATGCAGGAGAAAGCCTTTATCTTTGAATACCAGTAAAGAATAAGTTTTATGCCTCAGTTCTCATATAGCTTGAGTGATTTCCATTAGAATCAAAAATAGAATTAATGTTAAAACATGCCAAGATTAATATTAGAACCAAAATGCCTGATCTTATTGACACAAAGAATTGTGGAGCAGAAAAAAAAAAAGAGAGAGAGAAAAAAATTATTAAAAAAGAGAACAAATAAATAATTCAAGGAATTTTGGCTACAAGTTGGGGAAATTTCTGTCATTTAATCACATTCCATGAAAATTAAAGAATGAGAGACATCAATAAGTTTTGCAGTCAGATGATGAAAAAAAAACTGTTCATATATGACAAGCATTTACTTTTTCATCAGCATGTTTGTTAAGGCACACTATTCATTTGTGAATATTAATCAAAAATATTAAACCTTTATGTTATGAGTTTTCACATTAAAATTCATTTAATAACATGTCATATATATATATACACTTAGTGAAAAGCACTCAATATCAGTGATAGAGCTAACTTAAGTTGTATGGATATATGCTTGTGAACCTGGGTTTCACACACACTTCAGGATCCCCATGGTAAAATACAGTCTAGACAAAAGCATCAGTTTACGATTAATGTGTGGGCTGGAATTATAGTTGACTGCATGGTAGATCCATATGTTCACCCAGCACGTCTTACAGGAGCTGTCTACCGAGACTATTTCAAACACACTTCCAGACCTGC